ATAATAAATAATTTATTATAATTAATAATTCTAAAAAAATAATTTATCTATATCTTCCTATTTAAAAAGTGGTTGTGAGACTCTGCCTTTAGAAAAAAATAAAAGTAAAAATAAAAAGTAATCAAAGGAACTAGCATAAGTTACATCTCCTGTTCCCATCCTTGCTCAGAAACACCGGAATAGCTCCAGCATGGGCCGACACTTGCTCAGAAACACCACTTTCGTCCTCCCATTCCCATCCTTCTTCCCCTTTTTCACTGCCAATTTCACTACCAAAAGATGAACTTGCAGCCTGAACACTTCCCTCGCCTACCATTTCTCCGAAAACTTGCACGGCAACCTAGCCACTATCAAGTCCATACTGCCATACATTTCCAAGTCCGGCATTGGTATCTCAGGGCACGCCGTGCCGTCAATTTCGTCCTCCTCGTCGATCCACTCCGGGAACAAATCTGGCCATTCGAAAAGCTCCGAAACTCCCTCGAAACCAATGGGAATTGTTTCTCCATGCTTTTCCCATTCACTCACTCTTCATCCAAATTCACCATCCCAATATTCATTCCACTCCCAATTTCTTCATAAACTCCGGTACCTCTACCTTACTCCCATTCATCCTCTTTCTCTGCTTCTCTGTTTTCTCCAGAATTGCCTTCATCGTCACCCCTGTTTCCACCTACAAACAATCAAATTTAATTTAACCCAAAATGTAAAAACCAAAAGACAAATGCTATCCACACGAGTAGAAATACAATGAGTTATGGCCAAAAAACAAATGATCTCCCTCTTCCATCGACAACCAGATCCAAGTCTCCCTCCACTCAGCCCCTAGGTCTCTTTTCCATCACCTCCAGATCTCTGTGTCAGACATTCCTCCCTCATCCCCTTCGATAATTAGACTAACCGGGGCTTCATCGCCGTCAGAGTGGGAGAAAATGCAGGGTTCGAAATTTAAATCCATGGGTTTAGGTATGAATTTCAAATACACGGTTTTTAAGTCTTTCAAATACACCAATTAAAATACATGTATTTCCCTTAAATCTCATTACATTCTATTTAACTAAAAACAAACACTAATTTTGAATTTGAAGGACTAAAATTCAAATACATCCTATCAAATTCATGTTCCCAAACAGAGCATCTAGGTATTTCAAAAAATTAAAAACCGTCTATTTCAACTTCATCTTTAAACCCATTAATTTCAATTTCAAACTCTGCATTCTCTCCACACACACCGACTGCGATGAAGCCTCCATCTTGACTTCATAGTCGACTGAAAAGCTACCTCGCCGGAAATGAAGACTAGAGTAGCAGAGATGACAGAAAACCGAGCAGGCCCAGGGGCTACAGTTACTGTTCTACAGCTTTTGATGTGCCCCGCACAAGGTGATTGGAGGAGATGATGTGCTGCTGTCCTGATCCTGGAGATGGAGCTGCCATTCAGAATGAGAAGAGAATGAAACCAAGATGAGACGGTAATGGTAATGGTGGCTGTGAAGAGGATTACAAGGGGAGAACGATCGAGAGATTTTTTTTTCTTTTTTTTCGTGCCCACCTCTTGTGGCCACTGCTGTCCCTCTCCAAAATGCTACAGACCTCCCATTTTAGGGTTCCCATTTTGGTATTTGCCTGGATATGTAAAATGGGTCAAGTTTTGGGTCATGAATCAAATGTGCTATGAATAATGATTAAAAGAAGGTTCAATTTAATAAAAAAAATTTAATTTTAAATGTATAGTATTTTAATATATCTAAGTAATATATTTAAAAATATATGTATTTAAAATTTATTTTTTTTATTTAAGTCAAATAATGTATTTTAAAATACATGTATTTAAAATATTTATTTTAAATATATGTATTTAAAATATACATTTTAAATACAAATATATGTTTTCAAATACAATCTAAAAATATTTTAATAAATTTATAGAATGAATCACAATAATTTAGATTGTATTACATGAATCTCTAATAAAAAAAATATGGATCAAATAATTAACAAATACCTGGCAAGCAGAAATTTTTTGATTTGGTGTTGCCTTCCTCTTTCTGTGGTTCCTTGATTTTTGTTATCCTTCTTAGATCTCTATTTTCTTGTTAAATACAAAGAATCACCTTCCTCTGCTCCGGGATGGACGATGGGTGAGTAGCAAGCAACATACATCTGTAGTGGTAATCTCGTAGTAGATGGCAGCTGCAAAGGAGGAGGGGGATTTGGGGAAGCAAGGATGTTAATTGACATATTCCTCCAAATCTGTTGCCTGTATTGGTTGAGCTTTTGTGGGATATCCATGGCCATCAAAGTTGAGAGAGAAAGATAACTCCCTTTTTAGGAAGAGGAGATTATATGTGGTCTTTATATTTCTTGGAATTTGGTTTCATTTTGGTATATATGCTTTGTCCACTTCTGGGATTGGTCGGTTGCTTTGTCCCCCATACTAAGTGTTCTGAAATTAAGATTAGTGCTTCGGACAGGAAAGGCATGTCAATCAAGCTCCTTTTTACTTCCCAATACAAAATCAATGGAAGCGGAAAGGAGAGTAAAAAAATTGGTAAAAGAGTTTCCTTTCTAATATATTTCATCCAAGAAGAAATGACTCATCATTTTTTGTCTTTTTTTCAGTTTTCTTTCCTTTCTTGGATGGGTTTTCTATGAAAAGCATAACTTTGTGTATTTCCTCGAAGTGGAGAAACTATTCCTCCTCTGTAAAGTCTTAGAAGCTCATTTGAGTCATTTGTTAATATGAAGCCTTCGACTAGATTGGCAATTAGGCAGCTAGCCCAACAAAGAATGGGCTAGGGCAGCTCAATATGGTTAATGCAAAATGGGCTTGATTTGTAGTTAAGCCCATCCGTTTTGTTTGCCTTTCCAGCCTTGGCCATCCATTAATTATGTCTCATTTTGACATAGTTTATGGCAAAGCCTCCACGTTTGCTTGGCGGAACCAGATTCGATTAATGGGTAGAATCTATTATATTTTTGTATCAACAAGATTCAAAATTAAAAAGTCATAATATTTTCCTTTTTTAATGAGTAGGACTTTACAACGATAAATTTTAAAATTATAAATGTTTTTTGAGAGAATGGTACAGTTCATGCCTCCTAATCCTTCTCCAACACAAGTCTGCCCTTGCACTACGTATGGCATGTGCTTCGAGTTGCATGTTATCATTTGAGAATAAAGTTAGCTTAGCCGGAGAAGAAGTTAGCTTAATGAAAAAATTTTGAGAACAAGGTTCCCAATGTAAGTACATTTTACAATATAAATTATAAAGTTGCTTTCATGTTAAGTTGTGCTTTAAATGCCGAACCACAACGTTTTATTAAATGAGCTCCGCCTAAAAATTAATATTAAAAGTTGATACTTAGTTTTTTCATGTATAAAATTATTTGCTAAAACTTTACGTAAAAGTTAAATAACTAAATTCAATTAAAATAAATATTAACTATGGTACAATTCTCATATGCTTCTATATATTTTTTTCGATTCATTATGCTTCTATATATTTTTTTCGATTCATTATGCTTCAATATATTCTTTTAGTTTATTTTTAATAAATTTAATTTAACTTTTTAAATATAGATTTTAAATAAATTTAACAACTTATATAAATAATAATTAATTTTTTTACGTAAAATTTTTATTCAGTATTTTAATTTGATTAAAAAAAATTTAATTATTGTTTATATAATATGTTCAATTTTTATTTGAAATTTATGTTTGAAAAGTCAAAAAGTTAAAAAATCAAATTAAATCGACTAAAAATGAATGGAAGGAATAATTTACAGTTAAAATAGATTTAATTTAAAATTTTGATCTTAAAATTCAATCTTAATAAATATTACCCTTAAATAAAAATAATTCCTTTTTTTTAATGAAGAAAAATAATTTATTTTAGAATATTATTTAATTTTAAAAGTGGGTTGAAGGCAGCATCCGCCATGACGTGAAATGGCCCAAGTTTGTTGAATGTTGAAAATAATTTATATTAGAATATTATTTAATAAA